TTGAACAGTATAAAAACCATTATGACTATGTAGAGTCCCCACAAGGATAGCTGACCAGACATGTGTGTGTGTGCGTGCGTGCGTGCGTGCGTGTGTGTGTGTGTGTGTGTGTGTGTGTGTGTGTGTGTGAGTGAGTGAGTGAGTGAGTGTTCATGTGTGTGTGCGTGCGTGCGTGTGTGCGTGCATGTGTGTGTGTGTGTGTGTGAGTGTGTGTGTGTGTGTGTGTGAGTGTGAGCGTGTGTGTGTGTGTGTGTGTGTGTGCGTGTCTCATCATGACAAACCCTTATACCACACCATACCATACCATACCATACTTAACCATCAAGATACATTTACATAAGCAAAATTGCTTGCTTAAATCTTTACTTATTAAGTCTTGCTTTCTAAAAAAAAAAAAGATCAAAATGAAGTGAATTCTTACTTAAAATGAGAAGAAATATTTGGCAGTGGGGGTCAGAAATATAAACTCAGTTCAAAGGGAAAACAAGTTCCCTTTCGAACGGACTCTCCCGTTGCGTTGAATGCTTAGGGGTTTCCAAAGGAGTCTGAGAGTGCCATTCGTCAGAATTTTTCTCCTTCAGCGCGAAGATCATCTCCCTGCTGGACTCTGAAGAAAGAAGCCTAGAAGCCAAGTAAGCTCGAAGAGAAGCCGCTACTCGCCGTAGAAGAGCACCGGCAGAGCAAGGATGCCTTCAAACAGCACTTCCCCTGCAGCCATCCGGCGACTGAGAAAGAGCGTTTCCAAGAGCAAATTTCCACAACGGCGTTGTTTCAAATGTCGTGCTGCAAGTGTGGTTCATAGTGCATCACTTGCCTGGGCAGTGCTCACGCTGAGCCCACACTCACCGAGACGGATTGCTCTCACTGTGAGAGCATGATTCTCGCCCTGCTTTGCTTGGGAATTGCCTTCTTTAATAAAGGTGGTCCTCCCTCGTCTGCTCCCCCATTTCTCCCCTAGCAGGAGCCTCGGTGGAAGAAACAGTGGGGCAGAGGGATGGATTTCCCAGGTTTGAGTGAACCTGAGAGTGGCACAGGTCCCGCGTGCTTCACTCTCCCTGCAGCACATTGATTTGCCGATGTTATTCTCACGTGAGGATCAGCACCACACAGAGCTCAGAGATTGAATCCACCTTGTCCTCATACTGTGCCGACCTGGGATTTATCTATAGTCCTCAGGGCTCTAAGGGGCCTTCCCTTCAAGTCGCTCCAGTCGGCCGACTTACAGCCCCTGTCACTTAAGACCGCCCTCCTTTTGGATTTAGCGTTGGTCAATCAAGTAGGCGACCTGCAAGCACTGTCAATCCGTGCTTCATGCCTTGAGTTTGGTCCTAACGACTGTAGAGTCGTCCTTAAACCAAGACACGGCTATGTGCCTAAAATGCTCTCCACTCCGTTCAAAGCACAAGTCATTACCCTTCTCGCTCTTCCTAATTCAGAGGATGAACAGGGTCCCAATCCACTCTGCCCGGTTCGGGCTCTTAGAGTGTTTGTTGAGCGCTCTGGCCCATTTCGGCACTCAGAGCAACTCTCGCTGGATAGTTGACGCTATAGCCCTGGCTTATGCCTCAGCTGGCTTACAATATCCTATCGGAGTAAGGACCCACTCCACCAGAGGAATGGCCTCCTCATGGGCTCTGTCCAGCGGAGTTTCAATTGGTGATATCTGTGTGGAAGCCGGCTGGTCTTCGCCGTCTACCTTCGCCAGATTTTATAACCTGGACGTCCCTGCCCTTCAGGCATGGATTTTGTCCACTTAATTTACCTGATCCCCTAGATTAGTGGAAAAGGTCTAGATCCCAGCCTGTTGGCTTGGGTCTCATATTTGGCTCATGCTCTTTAGGAGCCTGCATACATAATTGATTAATTTTGCAACATCAACACTGTTATTGAACTGAACTGAATCAACACTGAACTGAATTGATCTAAGCAATGACACTGTTGTCTTCTGTAGAGCTGCTTTACAGCTGAAATTGAGTTTGCTTCATATTTGATGACGTTTGCATTATTTATTCTGTTATTTTACTGTTTAATTCTGTGACGCTTCTTTGAAACAATCTGTATTGTATAAAATGCTATAGAAATAAATGTGACTTGACTTGATATACACAGGGTTTGTTTTGAAGGATGTAATCTCTACGTCAGCCGGCTCTCACTTACACCTTTAGCTCGTGCTCACCTGTGAAGAACACGCTGTTTATGGAAGGACTAATATAACTGCTGTTTGTTGGCATCAGAAAAACATCTATGTCTGCCAAATAACAATATTAATCACAACACTGAAACTGGTCTCAACTTTAGATGAGCAAATATCAGGTGCATAATAAACAAATCAAGCACATTTAAATGCGTCACAGGTATGTTCAGTTAGTTTCAGTTTCACGGACTTTTAGTTTGTATTCTTTAGTTCCTGTCTTCCTTTGTTTGATTTTCCCGCTCCTCCTTTGTTTCTATGGTTACTGATATGATTGGTTCTTTTAGTTTAGTTAACCCGGTTTGTTTCAGTATTGTAGTTCCTCCTTTGCTTCTGTTTGTTGTCTGGTCTCGTTTCGGTTTATAGTGTTGACTTCTACCTTCTGTCCTGTTACCTGTGCTTTATGATTAAAGACTCTTTGTTTGATACTCGACCGTGAACTTTATCTGTCCGTCTGCAACATTATGTGACAAAATGTATATGACAGAAGATCAAAGAATTACAACCGCTCATTGTGAAAAAACTGAACGGCAACACTAAAAATAAAATTGTAAAAATACACAGATTTAAATGTCTTTGATTTAAATTATGCTCATAGATGATATATTTAGGAATAATGCTTGCAGAGGAGTTGTGAGTGAAAGCGTAAAGCTTGAGCCAGGGTTGTTATATTTAGCTAAAATTAAAACTAAAATTAAAACCAATTAAAATGTCCTTACTTGGGAAAAAAATTCAGTGTTAACTGAAATAAAATGAAGTAAAAAAAATTGTTTCCAGTTTTAAAAAATATTATTTAAATTGCCAAGGCAACATTTCTCATTTTAATTTAGTTCAACTTGATGTACTAAAATAACTAACTAAAACAAAAAATGAAATGAAAATTAATCAAAACTATTAAACTATAAAAACTATAAATTACTAAAACTTTAACTAAAATTAAAATGAAAAATAATAAAATAAAAACGGATTTAAAAAAAACTATAACAACATTACAATGATACTAAAATAACAGTGACTTGAGCACAAACCGCAGTTTATTTTATTGTCAATTTTAAGTCAGTCTCACTGACCAGATTTCATTTAAATATTTAAAGAAAAAAATGAAGCCAATAATGAATATTAAGGTTTATATGTATCAATGGTGGCTTCAGTCTGGTTTGTTTCTCTGGCTTGTCTCTGTCATTTCATTATTAAATCAAGGTGGATGGACAGATACGGGACAGTCCCTGTTTCCCTTTACACAGACCAGAGCTGAAGCTTTCTGACAGTTCTCATCTTACTTTGAATAAGTTAATGAAATCTCAATCAGATTAAAATAAACAACGCATATGTAGTATAAATACAGTATAAATCTTTAGTTTGAGCTCCTTATGAACAAACATCAGATTCTGAAGGTAAACGTCTCTTTAAGAGAACAGATACATGTCTTCAGTTTTTCTGTACTCTTCTCCTGTGAAGTGGTAGGAAGCATCTAATGGCTTTCTGTGTTTTTTTTCCCTCCAGTATTCTGTTTGCGGATATTGTGGGCTTCACGAGTCTGGCGTCGCAGTGCACGGCGCAGGAGCTCGTTAAACTCCTCAACGAGCTCTTCGGCAAGTTTGACGAACTCGCCACGGTGAGTCGCTCTCATTGGTTCACGCCTGTTGCTATGGTGACTTCACACCCTGACAACAGCAACAGGAGCACAGGTGTGAGCGCAGTGGAAGTTATGCATAATCAGAGAGTTATATGTGATCAAAATGAAATGGTGACAGTGCTGTGATCATGTGAAGCTGAATTCCATCAAAATGTTTAAATGTGTGAAAGAGCTTCATAAATCATCTTGTCAAGCACACAGTATCTTTATTCATATCTAAATTCACAGTAGTACTAGAATAAAACCGTACTAGAATAGAATAAAAATATCTGAGCACTGACGTCTACAACAGACAAAACAGAGTAATTCACCTTTCCAAAGTAATTTTTCAGTAATTTGTTTTAGTTGTTTTAGTCATTTGTAATGTTATAATTTTGTTGCGTGGTTTGTCATTGTTATTTGTTTTTTAAAATTAATTAATTCATTCATTTATTTATTCATTTTAAAAGGATAAGTTGAGGAAAGTCACATGCTCAATTTCAGTTAACTTTTTCGTTTTTGACCCAATAGGTTCCAGACTTCTTTTGACATATATACTGTATTGAAATAGTATATGCATGAAATAGCATGATTAATTTATTGAAATATATTAAAGAATATTGGAATGTCAGATATTTTCTGACTTACTGTTGGTTTTTTATGAATATTTAGCAGTGTTTTAGGTAAATGTTTGACATAGCCGAGTGAATCATTGTGTGAGTATTTTCAGCTTGCTCATGGAAAAGTTAAATCAGTAGTTTTCAGTCTCTTACATGCACACACTGGTTAAATCGCTCTCTGTCTGTCTTCATTAGGAAGTGTGTCTGTAAATTAAACATGTAGATGTATCTCAGTGTAATCTAGACACTAGAATTGCTTACATTCACATGTGCCTATGAAATCCTTTAATCCATGGATTACACTGAGATGTTTCTGTCCAGCGTCAGAAGGTCTTTCAGCAGGTCTAGTGTTTCAGTGTGATTGTCAATCTGTGGTGTGAGTTTGTTTCATTGCAGGGTCCATTTGTTCACATGTTTCACTTGATCCACTCATGCTCCTTCTGTTTGGACTGTCTGCTGGATCTCACACATGCTGCTCCATATAATCACTCTAGAGTACATTCTTGTGCTGTATCTGAAGTATGTGCATTGGGCTTGTTGTTAAATTGTTTGATTTGCTTGTTTTATGTTTGCATTGTCTAAGTGTCATGAAACGTTCTTTCCCACATCATCGGTCAGTTCTGAAATTTGAGTTCTGAACCCTATGGGGCCTTAAAAATTAAGATACCAAAAACAGAAGTGTGTTTTTTTTTTTTCATTTTTAAACTGTGACCATTGACATTTAATGCAACAAAGATTGCTAAAGTCAACAGATTTTACTAATTGAGCTACCAATCTCTGAAAATAAAATAACGATCCTGCCATCTTCATGAAGTCATTTTTACCCCCGTAATTTGGCTCCAAATCTCAGGTGAAAATTGTCATTTTTAAGTGTAAAATTTTTTTTTTTGAATGAGGTAAAATGTACTGAGCGCACCTTAAAAAGATGCTTTTATCCAAAGTGAGAAAAATATACACTTATGAATGCAGAAAAACCATGACAAACCAGAATTGAGCAGAAGTGAATAGTGAATAGAACAGGAAAGACTAAACAGGTTGTTTTGTAAGGTGCTTTTTTTGAAGTGGTTTTAATGGTTATATCAGGTCTGTTGATTCACTCAGACCTAGATGTCTGAAAGTCATGCAGAGATGAGATTATGGGGTCGCCAGGTAGGAATGACAGGTTGAGCTGTGTATCATCTACATTGCAGCAGCTGGAGTTGTGTATATAGACAATAGGAGGGGACCAAGCACTGAACCCTGAGGCACCCCAGTGTTTACCCTACTCATCAACAAACCTCGAAGGATCTGCTTGTGCCAGTAAGGTGCAGTTCTTCTAATAGCCAGGAGAATCTGATGATTCCTTCGATTGAAGGCAATGAACAGGTCTAGTATGACGATTTGGAGTGAACTTATGCCAGCCGCAGAGTTTCAGCTACAGACAGATCTCCTGAATGTTTGCTTCTGAAGCTGGACGTTCAGTGAAAGAAAAGAGAGAGAGAGCTGAATGAACACAGTCTTGACAGGAGAGGGACTGGTCTGTAGGTTTCTATTACTGTAGGGTTGAGTATTGTTTTTTTCGAGCCGTCGGGTTAACCGAGTGGTGGGAAAGATGGCTGTAATAAGAGCTGTAAGAGGATTGTGGAGTGGAACGCTCTTCATTAGGCAAAACTACTTCAGGAGGTTCAGTTTGATCCAATTAAGTGTTTATATGGTGTGACGTGAAGACTCACTGGCTTGGCATTGTGGGAAAGCAGTTGTCATTGTAGCTGACCTGGGATCAGTTATGCTTTCATGGTTATGCCGGTTTGGGATTACAGTGAGGATGTGTTTCATGAGACCAGTTTAGTAAGCATGCACAAGACCTGTGAGTAAACTCTTTATGAAGATGTAAATGTTTAGTTGAGCAGCCATATTTTATGCCAGTCCACATAGGTTTACAATACTGTAGGTTTAGTAATACAGGCTTTTACTTCATCTCACTTGTAAAGGCAGACTTCACTCCATCCTGCTGAGGTTCATCGTGGAGGTCAGGTAGTGCCCGTCCAGCGCCAATGTCTGCATAATTCAGTGCAGGTGTGAGGGTAGTTGAAAATTATGGGAAAGATGATGATAGTCATATAACAACAGCAATAGATTCTGGGGAATGACTCATAGGAAGATTAGGAACGGCATCAGAACAAGAGCCCGTTCCTTTATGCTCTTGGTCTTGTACATGTATATGGGGGGACTGTATTTCTTCTCTCTTCTAAATCTTTTTTTTTTTTCTGGTGTCCAGACGGTGGTTCTAGGAGGTCCATAGAAAACGTTTTTTATTTATTTGTTTGTTTGTTTGTTTGTTTTAGTTAACTATAATAATCCTGAACTAAAGACAGACATCTCAAGGAAGAAAAATATAAATGGCTCAGTATTTATTTGTGCATTAAATTACAAAAGAAAAAAAATTGCTCTCTGGTTAAAAATCATTATCAGGCACACAGCTTTATCCATGTCAAAGTTTCTGTTATGTGATCTGTGAACAGTAGCAGCTTCTGTTAAGATTTTCTTTACTTCTCATGGAGGCACACTGAAAGAAACACATTGCATAATGTTAATATTATCCTGCATATATGTGCAGATCTTGCATAGGTCTTTTGTGGGCTATTGAGTGGATGAAAGACGTAACCAGTCTGAAGTGGAACGCCATCCCTGTCAAAATTCACTATTGTTATTTTGCTGTTGCAATCATATCAACATACTGTATCTGTTGCAGTCATGCCATATTGGTGTTGCGTTACACTGGTTTTACCATGGTTAAGTGTGTTTTAGGCACACCTATAGAGCACTTTAGCCATGATCTACAGGCCGACCTAGAAGACTAGCTCGTCATGTGTTTCTATGACTGTTTTCTGATTTATGAGTCAAGTAAGGTCTGAGGTGCAGAGACTTTCGTGTTTTTTTCTACATCAGTTATACACACTCAAACTTCAAATGTGAGACTTGAAGCCGCTGTGTTTAGAGTGTGAGTCCCTAACGAGCTGCTGTATGATGATGATGATGATGATGATGATGATGAGAGCACTTGTCTGATTCATCCAGCTCATAAACTCACGTTCTTCTGCTGTTTAGCAACTTACTGTATATTTGTAAAAACGGAAGCACCAAAATTCATGTTTGAGGTTCAACCGGGTGTAAATGGTGTATTAGAGACATCACGGACAAAACATAACTGAAGTTAACTAAAGAGCTTATTTTACTCCTAAATAAAAACCTTCCATTGTGAAACCCTTGGACATTTGTCTGGGTCTTCTGGGTTTAGGGTTATAGTACTTTCTGAGCAGCTCTGTTCACATTCACTGTCTCAGATGGCTGACTGCTTTATTTTGCCCTCATTTCTCCTCATTTAGATTTAAATTAAGAGGCTAAATTGGCACAGATTTGTCTGTGTGAGATCTAATAATCTCTCATTCCTAAAGGCTGAAGAACAGACGATGTGGCTCCTGAAGGACTCTTGGCTAAATGATGCAAATGTCTGCAGTGTTTGTGATGATGTTGATATGCTTTAATCTTACTGTGCTTTTTATGCTCCTCTGTTTCCATGGCTTGTGTTTCACCTGCACACTTAAACACTCACAGTGCTTCTGCTTCAGTGTTTGACTCACTCCGCTTTCCCTCTGAGACAAATTAATCCTGACTGTGAAAGAGCAACACTCCAGATTTAATTTTCTTGGTCACACTTTATTTTAATAGTCCACTTTAGACATTCTACTGATTATAACTTTGCAACTACATGTCAACTAACTCTCATTAGATTATTAGTAGACTGATAGGTTAGGGTTAGGGTTAATAGAATATGTTGGCATAGCTACAAAGTGACTTATAGTCAGTAGAATGTCCATCAAAATAAAGTGTGAACTGATATTAAGCAGACAGTCTACTGTAGACTTTAAGACTATATACCTAGTATAGAGCAGATCTTTAGTGGACAGGTTAGTTTTGTAAATTTATATATTAATAAGACCATTTTTTGCTCTGATTTTTCTTTCGTCTTTGAATTCCTTGCCCAGATTATTTTTGAGAAATGTGGCAACAGGAGCCCTGTTTCTGTCATCCGAATGCTGCTTTAAAAACAGAAAGCACCTCAAATAGCCACAGCATAATCATTTCTGTGACCTATTTTGTGCATTTCTCATTTCGTTTCAAGCAACTGTTGTGAAAAAGAGATAAATGGTAAATTTTCATGTCATGCTGACTTAAATACTGGCTTTAGAAATGCACAGGTTTGGACAGTATTCTTAAAAAGCCAGCCTTTGCCTCTAATTTCAGGGTTAGGTGAGAGTTGGTAGGGTTGCAACAACTAATCAATATAACTGACCATGAAAATAATTGATGATGAATTTGATTATTGATGAAAACATCAGTCATATCACGTTACAGCTGCTGTGGGAAAGTGCATGACCCCTTTATGTAAAGCTCTTCAAACAAATGCATGTCAGCAGCTTTGACAGATGTGTGTTAATGCATTTTAGACGTTTTCCCAAGTGCACAACTCACATTTTTTAAAAGTTAAATCTGGCTTTTATTTCCATTTTGCAAGTGAGTGTCTGTTAAACTTAATATATTAATTTTCTTCAGCTATTTGTTGGTTGTAAAAGTTACCTTTAAAATTTGGGTTACGCTTTATTATAGTGTAAATGTAATGAGCAACATGAATTAACTACATGTACAGTACTTACTATAGGGTCAGGGTTAGGATGAGGGTTTGGCTTAGGGTTAGTTGCATGTAATTATGCATAATTTATTGTTATTATAATAGTAAGTACATGTAAAATTTGTAAGGACACTGTAAAATAAAGTGTTACCAAAATTCAGCATATGACACAAATATCTGTATGTGAGAAGTCACTGTAAAGAGATTACAACATGCAGTGGGATATAAATGTAAGACGTCTCTGACATTTTAAGATTCTGACATCTCATCCTCACAGAAGGAGAACAAAAGATCATAAAGATTTGATATGTTTCCTACTGTAAAGCATGTGCATTTTACTGGAGTAATGAAACATGTTGATCTAGGACAGGGGTTTTCAACCTTTTAGGACATGC